CAGACATCCCTCTGGCAGCCTGGGAGCCCTCGGGGGATGTCCACTTGCCAGCGGGGAGCAGGCCTACGCTGCAGTCGGACATCCTTAGCGCTGCTGAGGAGGCGAGAGAGACTCACACCACCACCGTTGTGCTAGCAGCCATCAGCCTGGTTTGTGGCTGAGCAGAGCTCCCCTGTGGGAGCGCTTTGACCACCAGGGGGCAGCTCCTGCATTGAGCATCTGCCCCCTGGTGGTCAGTGTGTGTCATAGTGACCAGTCATTCCCAGTCTTTCTGCTGTTAGGGTCAATTTGCATATTACCCTTTTATTATATAGGAATGCCTAGCCAGCCTGGGTAAGGGGCTGATGGCTGTTTGCAGGCTGGCCACAGCCCCTTCAGTGTGGGGGTCCCCACTCGGGTGCCTGGCCATCCTGGGTGAGGGGCTGAGAGCCGTTTGCAGGCTGTCCACAGCGCCTTCAGGGTTGGGGGTCCTGTTGGGGTGCCTGGCCAGTCTGGGTGAGGGGCTGAGAGCCATTTTCAGGCTGGCTAAGCCCTCCAGCAGGGACCCTCACCCCATGAGGGTGTGGCCATCCTGGGAGCCAGGTGCAGCTCTGCTGCTGCTCATCCTGGCCCTGCTGCACCTGCCGCCGCTGCCCCCCCACTCTACTCCCTCCCACTTCCTCCCCCTCCCCCTGTAGCACTGCCACGGAGGTGGGAAAGGCTTCCACTGCTGCAGCTGTGGGCCCAGTTTCTGGCTAAGTGGCGCTCCCGCTGTGGGAGTGCACTGACCACCAGGGGGCAGCTCCTGTGTTGAGCATCTGCTCCCTGGTGGCCAGTGCACATCATAGCGACCAGTTGACTGGTCGTTCCGGTCTTTCGGTCATAAAGGTCGCTTAGGCTTTTATATATAGAGATTCTTCTCATTTAATTGGTATCTACATGTATTATTTATTTACTTTGACCAGACTGTGTTCCTGCAGCACAGGGCATGTTGTCTTATTTTTAAATCCTTGTTGCCCAGGCACATCCATTGTGCAGTGCAGGGCTGCTGATCCTATCCTATATAATAAAAGGCCAATATGCAAATTGACCAAACAGCGGAACAGCCTGTCGCTATGATGTGCACTGACCACCAGGGGGAAGATGCTCAATTCAGGAGCTGCTCCCTGGTGGTCAGTGCGCTCCCACAGGGGGAGCACCACTCAGCCAGAAGCTCTGAGCTGGGCTCAGGGCTCGCAAGCGCAGCGGTGATGGCGGGAGCCTCTTCCACCTCTATGGCAGCGCTAAGGATGTCCAAGTGATGGCTTAGACCCATCAGTTGGGGAGCGGGCCTAAGCCATCAGTCGGATATCCCCCAAGGTCTCCTGGACTGTGAGAGGGCACAAGCCAGGCTGAGAGACTCCCCCCCCCCTCCCGAATGCATGAATTTCATGCACTGGGCCTCTAGTTTGTTTTATAAGACTGCATGAGATTAAACAGTGCACATGCAAACACATTAAATACTCCACAAATATAAAGCATTTTTATTTTTATGAGGTTACTTTCCTCAAGGAATTTGCATTAAGGAAACAATACCCACAGATGTTGCTTCTGAAGTTTTTTTTTAAAGAAGTAAAAACAAGTAAAAGACCATTGAGCAAAGGAAGGGACATTAATATACCTTTTGCTAGCTTGTCATTCTCTTTTCTATCTCTTTCAAGTCATACCAATTTCTGTTGGGGAGAATATCTGGTGAGAATTTCCATTCAGAACATTTATTTTCTACTAAAAAAAAAAAGTGGCCTTTTTATTGTGTGTTGCAGGAATTATTAGAACAAAGGTATTTCTAATTTAGTGGCTCATTACAAAATATACAGAACATGATTAATATCTGGTAAGGTCAGACTCCAGTTTTGCAGGTTGATTGTAACAGATGTTAAGCAAGGTCCTTTTACTAAGCAACAACTACAAACCAGTATTGGCTTCTCTAACTTGTCTCGAGTAATAAACTGATAGCTATATATATTGAGAAAAGGAGTGTAGAAGGTAACTCAATAATAGATGATCCAAAAGCCACATTTGTTTATTTTCTTTTGTATCCTTGTGAGCTAATTTTTAGCAGTTGTGGCATATTTACATTTCTAATGTTCATATTTTACTTAGATTAGATTTCTTTTTATTTCTTAACAATACATAGGATTAGGCTGACTTTGCATTAAGAATTGCAATAGATAATTGAAATTTGACTACTTAAAATAATGGATAATTCAGAGTGGTAGTTCTTAACTGAATAGGTACTCCTATTCTATATTGTTAGAACATAGTTAAATCAGGGTCTGTTTATTTATTTGTCAGATATATTTTTATTTCAGAGATGAGAGAGAGAGAGAGAGAGAGAGAGAGAGAGAGAGAAACATTAATGATGAAAGAATCATTGTTTGACTGCCTCCTTCATGCCCCACACTGCGGATCAAGCACGTGCATCCCGGGCATGTGCCCTGACCAGGAATTGAACCATAACCTCCTGGTTCATAGGTCAGTGCTCAACCACTGAGCCACGCCAGCCGGACTCAGGATCTGTTTTTTAAAATAGATCCTGTTATTTCATTTCACTGTTGGGATTCCTCATTGAATCAAACAGTGTGATGGATAGAAATGAAGTTCAGTTTAAGGTTAAGAGTTTATTCAGGTATAGTAATACATGCATGTAATCATAATACATTAATTAAATGCTTAAGTAAAACTGAGTGAAAATTGTAAAATATCTTAATTTGAACATGTGGAATGCTGTCTATTATATGATTAAGAGCTGATTGTTGGCAGTCAGAATTTTATCCAATGTGGAGAAATTACTTATTGGAAAAGTACAGGGTAGCCTCACTTTAGGACGAACGGAGGAAGGAGCGAAGGAGGGACTGAATAAAGCAGGGTAGACGTGGAGGCCTGTGCAGCGGTTGAAAACCAGGCGGCAGGTATCAGTACTCCCTGTGCGTGAGCAGCGTGTTCAGATTTCCAGTGATCTTCGATGCTATTTGAGTTCCTGGCATGGTAATGACTTGTCACTGTGATCATTTTACCTCCTGTCACTGGATCTATTCTGAGTGATTAGTGAATATTTTGGAACTGTTTTTGATAATGTCTGTCTTAATTTAAGACAATTTTTTTACACTATTTGGTAATCTTAGCATTTGGCAACTTCAAAGACCAGGATAAAGTGATACGGTTCACTTGTCTTCTGTTCTGAGGGACATGTGCGGAGTTGACTTCAGGTTATGACACACACACCACTGTGTGTGTCAAAGACCAAGGCTTTAAAATGTCTTTGTACAGTAATATTTAATTTTAATGATATGCAAAAGTAATTTTTCTTTTACTGCATAGTAGATTTTTAAGAGGATGTGGTCCATAAAGTAAGGACTTAAATGTTTTAATGTCATAGCCACCTTCCCCTCATCTCTCTTTAATAATTAGAAATGAAGTTTCAGAATAATCTTTGTAAAAAGATAATTTGCTTTTTTTTCAGATAAATTGAAGATTATTCATCAAGCACATAAATCAAAGGTACAGTATCTGGTACATAGCAAGTAATCAGTGTTGGTTGACTTAGTGAATAAAAGAATGAAGACATGAACTTCTAAAATGTTTTCATCATAATAGTGTTTTTTATTTTGTAAAAACCCCTACTACAGCTTTACTCTTCCATTAAAGAAAAAAAAAATCTAAGTCATATGCCTGTTCATAGTAGGTCCTTTAAAATGTGTTAATTTTTTTTGTCTTGGCCAGTTTTCTCAGTGGATAGTGTCGGCCTATGGACTGAAGGGTCCCTGGTTCTATTCTGGTTAAAGGCACGTACCTCAGTTGCAGGCTCTATCCCCAGCCCTGGTCAGGGTGTGTGTGAGAGGCAAACCGGTCAGTGTGTCTCTCTCTCATCGATGTTTCTCTCTCTGTCTCTTCCCCTCCCTTCTACGCTCTTTAAAAAAATCAATGGAAAAATATCATCGGGTAAGGATTAACAAAAAAATTTTAAAGATTAAATGTGTTATTTTTTTTAAAAAAAAGGATACATGTTGTATCTCAAGCAAATATTTAACAGAAAATAAGCATAAAACTTTGTAAATTTGGGTTACATATAAAGGAAGCCACATTATCTGGCAAGTCAATCTCTTACATTTTCTTAATCCTGTAAGGGAAGGAAGTGTAGATTATATATATATAGATGTGAGCGATCTTTAATTAGAAAACTTTGAAATGCTAGTGAGGATCATTAGTTGTCCAGGCTCATTAAACTGAACTCCTCTGAAGATATGTGCATTTTATTTACGTGAAATTCTACCTCAATTTAATAAAAAAAAATATATATGTGAAGAGGGATCCAAAATAAGATTTAAGTAGAAATACTTAGAATATTTTGGAGGGCAAGGAGCAGCATGAAGATGTATGGTCTTTCTTTACTAATTTACATATTTAATGCCACCCCAACAATATACTAACAACAGTTTTTAAGAAACATGAGCATATGAACAAGCCCAACATAGTTTTATAATTATAAAACTAATATGCAAAATATAAATGATGAATAATAGTCAGGAAAATGAGAGAAATGAGAGCGACTGGCCTTAGCATTAATTAGACATATTATAAAACGATAGTAATTAAAACAGTGTGGTACTGTCGCATGAACCGTGAGTTCAACAGCATAGAATTAAAAGTCCAAAAATAGACCCAAACATATATAGGAATTTTAGTTTATAGTAAATACGGCATTTAAAATATGTGGAGGATTTAGTAAGTGTTATTGGGACAACCGTGTAGACATCTAGAAAACAGTTAAGTTGAATCCATAGCCTTTTCTTTATTGGATTAATGACTTAAATGTGAAAGTGAAACTTACCCATGGGGTAGAGATGAAACAGATTGGACATTAGTGGATAATTTGTTCAAGCTGGATGATGGGTACATGGAGGGTTCATTGTACTATTCTCTACATTATATGTTTGAAATTCTTCGTAATTAAAAGTTTAAAGGATGAAATTAATAAAAATCCTTGACGAAAACATGGAATTTTAAAAATAATCTAATAGTGAAGGTCTTTCTAAGTATGATACTATAAAGGACTGATACATTTTATTTCATTTATTTTTTATTTTTTTGTTAGTCCTCACCCAGGGATATTTTTCCATTGATTTTTAGAGAGAGTGGAAGGGAGGAGGAGAGACATTAGAGAGAGAATCATCGATGTGAGAGAGACACATCAATTGGTTGCCTCCAGCATGTGCCCCAACCAGGGCCAGGGATTGAGCCTGCAACCGAGTTATGTGCCCTTGGCCAGAATCAAACCCAGGACTCTTCAGTCCATGGGCTGACACTCTGTCCACTGTGCCAAATCGGCTAGGGTTCATTAATTATTTTTTCATAATTCAGCATTCTACTCGAAAATGCTCTAAGAAAATTCAAAGAACAAATGAAAACTGGGGAAAATTTTCTAACTGATAGAAAAGGCCTCATTTTGTTAGTAAATAATGATATTCTGTAATTCTATTTTAAAAAATTATCCTGCAAGTTCATTAAAAAGCAGAAAATATTCACAGCGTTACCCATAATAAAATAATACAAATTAAGACTGTACTTAATCTATATCTATTGAGTTGGCAAAGATCAGTTGGTTTGGATAATACATGTCCGAAAAGGTGTGGGAAATATGTATTCTCAGCAACTGACAGTGTTAATGTAAGTTGGTACCACTTCTCTGGGGAGTAACTTGCAAATTAAAATTCGTCAAAATGCAACTTTTCAAAACAAAAATTGCAAGTACCCTCTGACCCAACAATTCTACTTTTAGGAATTTATCTTTTCTATAAAACTTGTACATATGCAAAATGATACATGTACCAGGATGCTTGTTGCAGGTTTGTTTACGGTAAGAAGAGATTGGAAACGACCTAAATGCCATCAATAGGGACTCTGTGTGTGTGTGTTTGTGTCCCTTCAATGGAATATGCTGCGGCCTTGATAAGTTATGAGGTAGCTCTTACACTGATTTTGAAAAGTTTTAAGCTATATTTTAGGAGAAAAAAAGTAACGTGTGAGAACACAGTTTCCATGCACATCTCTGCCTGTATGTACACGCCAGGGACAGTCTTTGGGAGGTCACACAGGAATCGGTACTGGTTCTGTGGACAACTGCATAGCTGCTGGATAGGGGTTAGGAGGAGACTGACTTCACTCTCTGTTCATATGTACTTAGAGACTTTTGTATCACGAGTATGACCTATTGTAAAATGATGCTTTTTTAAAAAATATATTTTATTGATTTTTTACAGAGAGGAAGGGAGAGAGAGAGTTAGAAACATCGATGAGAGAGAAACATCGATCAGCTGCCTCCTGCACACTCCCCACTGGGGATGTGCCCGCAAGCCAGGTACATGCCCTTGACCGGAATCGAACCTGGGACCTTTCAGTCCGCAGGCCGACGCTCTATCCACTGAGCCAAACCGGTTTTGGCAAAAAATGATGCTTTTAATAAAGGCTTTTTTCCCTTATAATCTGTGTGCCCCGGAGGTCGCGCCCCTGTGCTCTCTAGTGAGTGAAGGTGTGTCCAGTGGAGCATGGCTGCTGGGCCTTCTCTTTCGGCTGCTGAGAGGCCTTCTGCTGATGCTCCCTCTCGGCCGCACTCTAGAAATAGAAAACGTTGCTACACAGCCGTGTTCTAGTTGACAAGTGGTACTGTGTGCCCAGCTAGTGGTCACCTCTGTGTGCTGTTTAGGGGCAGATAGCAACTAAGAATTTTCTCCAATATTTATCATTTTTAACTGGATTTGTAAATATTGTAGCACAGATTCATCTACCCCCACCCCAAATCACATAGAGAAAGGTGACAGTTAGTATGACATGGGAGCAAGTGTTTATTAGCTAGGGCGAGGTGTTAGCTATGTGGATTTTGGCCATCGAGGTGAACGTGTTTACCTCGGAAGTCAGACTGACCAGATACAAGCCTAGAGTACTCTGGGTCAGCCGTGTACTCTGGGCCTGTATCATTTTCTTTTTTAAATTGTTGATAATATTACAGGTGTCTCCCACTTACCTCCCTCCCCTTCCCTCTTCCTAGCCCCAACTCACCCCAGGTCTTCACCACCCTGCTCTCGGCCTAGATCTTAACCTCTCTGATTTGTCCTGGAATATTGTGAGGATGAGATGGTGATGATGGTGGTGGTGGTGATGATGATGATGATGATGATGTTAGGAATGGTGATGATGATGGTGGCGGAGGGGGGGCTAAGATGGTTGTGATAATGATGATGAGATGGTGATGATGATGATATAAGAGGATGATGATGATATGAGATGGTGATGGTGGTGGTGGTGGTGATGGCCTGGCAGTGACAGCAAGAGAACACTTAACAGCTAACAGAGAGTTCTTCCTATGCGACTGACACTGTGTTGAGTGTTTTATATGCTTCGTCTCATTTCATCCTCACCACAAAGTAATAGAGAAGATGTATCCTTTCCTCCTTTTGTTCAGATGAGGAAACCGAGTCTAAGAGAGGCTGTGTAGTTTGTTGAGAGCACGCAGCTGGACGTTGGTGGAGCTCTAAAGCGGTGTGCTGTAGCACTGTCTCCCTAGCGCTTTCCACAGTGTGCGCACTTAGGTGCTCACTGTCCATTCACTTCTCTTCTTACGGTAACGGGGGTAGAATGTGACTCAGGCTATTGCTGTGTCCCAAAGTAACAATGCTGTGTCTTTGCGAAATCTCACCACATGTGAAGCACAGAAGTACTGCTAAAATGCAGATTTTCCTTCTTTCTAGACAAATGAACTTGTGCTGAGTTTGGAAGATGATGACACACTCATGTTGAAAGAAGACCGCACTCTGAAGGCAGCTGGAATCGGTGAGAAAGAGGGTGCGGTGCCAGCAGGAGTCCCAGCCTGCATGGCGGCCCGGCTGATTATACTTGGATAACTCACCGCAGAGTAAATGCTACTCTTGGTGCCCTGAGCACCGCCTGATAATTATTCAGAGGAGGACGAGATGATGTACATTCAGACCATCTCACTGAGGGCAGTAGTTATCTGCTCTCCACATGTTCCAAATGCAAATAGTTCTTTTCGGAAGGTATGCTCAGAATTCTGCTGAGGGTTATTTTAAATGATTGGCAGGTTATTGCTCAATAACCTGCTTATTATCAGCCTCATTTGATGAACGGATAGTTTGAGAGAAGTGGACCTGGTGGAAACTAATGTGGAATAAGGAAGGGTGATGTTTGTAGAACATGCAGCATGGTTTCCATAGTTGTCCACATCACTCCGGGCCGACCAAGTCATGAAATCTGAAATAGGAGCCTAGTGAGTGCAGTTGGAAAATGGCCCGAATTAGCCTTTCAACCTGGAAAAGGCATGCAGTTCTAGTTTAAAGAAATGCTGTTACATATTTTGTGACCATTAGATGTCACTCTAATTCTACCTATATGTTCACCTAAAGATTATCTGGCAGCAGGAGTGAAGATTTGGGGAGAGCTGTGAGCAGGTGAAGGCTTTATGCCTGACACACCTTTGTGGTCGGTGACTAATGAAACAGCACAAGTCACACTCGGCAGCTGCGCATGGACTGCCAAGGAGCACTGTCGGGGAGGCCCATGTTAGGAAGCTTTCTGTGTTTTGTTGTGTTATTTAGTCACAAATGTCAGGGATTTACTTTTTTTAAAAAAATACATTTTATTGTTTTTTTACAGAGAGGAAGGGAGAGGGATAGAGAGTTAGAAACATCGATGAGAGAGAAACATCGATCAGCTGCCTCCTGCACACCTCCTACTGGGGATGTGTCCGCAACCAAGGTATATGCCCTTGACCGGAATCAAACCTGGGACCCTTGAGTCCGCAGGCCGACACTCTATCCACTGAGCCAAACCAGTTAGGGCAGGGATTTACTTTTGAGTGATATATGCAGCTAAAGTAAGTTCCTGACATAGCTTCTAATTTAAATAGGATTTTAAAAGAACATGTTATGAAACATTATACTTGATTTCTATGTTTGTCCACACTGTTTGCTAGATTAGTGTCTTTTTATACTATGATTGACCATATACATAAGATTGATTGTTATTATTTGAAAAAAACTTTTTATTTTGGCATATATTTCTTCAGATGCTATTGTATTAGTATAGCAGGTGGCACCTGTGTTATTGAGGCACATGGCCCCTAGCATAAAGCCATAATGAATATAACCAACTGGTATTGATGCAGGAATTTACAGATCTATGGAAAAGAACAGAAAATCTAAAATCAAACTAAAAAAAAGTAAGGTTCCACAATTTGATCAATTTTTGACATCTCAAATAAGTGAGGAAAGGATGAATTAACCAAAAAATGATGTTGGGCTCATTGCCAAAGCATTTGGGGAATTGAAATTAAAATTGTTATCATCTTTATTCAAAAATAAATTCTAGGTGGATTGAGTGTTATAATGTAGAATTTAAAAAAAAATGTAGTTCAATAGTTTTATAATCTTGGGGAGGAGAAGAGCTCTAAGCATGACCATCAGCACTAAAAACAATGTAAAAAGAGTTAAAGGAGAAGCAATAAACTATGAAAAAGTATTAGCATCATATATGACACATAAAAGGGTATGAGCCTGATTTTATAAGAAGCACCTATAATTAGTCTGAAAAAGATAAACAAGGTAGATGCTGTTGGATGCCGTGTAGTAGTCTAGGGGTTAGGAGTCAGACCTGGAGCCAGAGTGCTTGGGTTCGTGGCTGATCTGCCACTTACGGGCTGGGTGACCGTGGGCCAGTGGTAATTATAAGACTAGCAGCCATGAGGCAAGTGCTGGTGTTGGGAAAGGGACGATCTTCCGAACTACTGTTGGGAGTATCCGTTGCCTGTAACTTTCAGTTTGACCAACAGGACTTCCTCAAACTTAATGTGGTGTCTTATCTGTCGACATGCCAACAAGAGCCTGCTTGCTCAAGCTCTGGCTCCTTTGAGGTGGTGATATGTCTTCAGAGAGGTGGCCGTGTTCTCTCGCCTCCCCGTTAGTGAATCACTCGTGTGGAGCTTTATTTATTGACTGGACATAGAATATATTGTGCCATACCTTTGTTATTTAAAAATGTACGTATTGCCCGGCCGGTGTGGTTCAGTGGTTGAGCGTTGACCTATGAACCAGCTGGTCACGGTTCAATTCCTGGTCAGGGCATATGCCCGGGTTGTGGGCTCCATCCTCAGTGGGGGGTGTGCAAGAGGCAGCCAGTCAATGATTCTCTCTCATCATTTATGTTTCTATATTCCCCTCTCCCTTCCTCTCTGAATCAATAAAAATATATTTTTTTAAGTGTACATACTTACATATCTGTATGTGTATATGGAGAAAAGAAATGATTTCTCAGAGAGGTGACATGGCTAAAAATTGATTTTTCCCCCTCACCATACTATCTAATTGTTCTTGTAATTTAAGATTTGTCTACAGTTTACATCTATTACTTGTAGAGAATAAGGTCCTAGAGTTGGAGAAAATTGATTTGAATGAAGGCTCGCATTTTACTTGCTTTGTGACTTTCTGGAAGCCATTCAGCCTCTCTGAACTTCTATTTCAGCTTTTGTAAAACAAAACAGAAGTAATTAAACCTATTTCAGAAATTAAACCTATTTCAGAGGCTCGTCATAGAGATGAGTAAAAGCATGGATACAAAAGCATCCGGAGAAATGCATGCAAAGGCCCTCAAAAATATTTATTTTATTTAGGAACCATTCTGGGGAAGGCAATTGGCAAATGTTTTGAATTTATTAAAATATTGAATTGTTGGTTTAATTGTCATTAATTTCAGATTCATGTACTGAGTCACCTGTTGTAAAGGCGAGAATCAATTCCATCAGTTTGTCTTCCTCGTTTTCAGGCCATAGGCCTTTATCAGAGTCAGATCCCTCGCACGAGTCTTGCTAGTCTCTGGGCGGTACAAGGACGTCCACTGCGCTCCTGGGCTGGCCAGCCCGCAGCCCTGGTCAGGGGCCACTTCGGTCACTGCTGGCCCATTCTCTCCTTGCACAGTCCCTGCTGTCGCCAGAGCAGCAGAGATGTACTCGGAGAACAGACCACAGTGCGCAGGAAGGGAGATCCCCGGAGAGCTGCTGTGTGAAATGATCCTTGAAGCCTGTGATTATCCTCGGGGACTTTCCCTCCCTCGGGGCCGCTCTGGTTGGCTTTTTAAGAGGTTTAAGAGGAAAATCCAAGTCATCACTCTCCCCTTTACCACCGATCTCGCTGTGGAGCTGCCACTCTGCTCTCACAGCCAGTTGCCATGGGAATAATGCCATTGTAGCAGATTTATCATGATGACTTTTCTGCAGAAGTCATGAAAGGAAAAAGAGAGACTGGGAGGGGGGAGTACAGGGGACAGAACTGTTTGAAGATTTCTTTTCTCACAGAGGAATTCTCCAGTTCCCGCTCTGGCCTTTTATCTGCACTGCAGGTCCCAGCTGTATGTTGTGCCTGATGGGGGAGGTTTGTGTTTGTGGACTGGTGCTGGCATACATAAGTGAGAAGATTTGCTTTGTGGAAGGAAGGAAAAGCTTCACCTAGAATTGTTACTTATACTTTAAAGAAGTTTACCTTGTTTTTAACTATTGTAATTTTATGGGCTAATTCCCCTAAGCAATAAATTTGCATGTAAGGTTTTTTTGGGCGCTACTGTATTTTATCTTTTGTTTTGCTACATTCTACAACTGTTACTAGTACATTTTTTGAGTCCTCTCTGGTTTAGTAAAGTAAAGAAATTGTATCAGGGAAACTCTTCCAAAGCCAGTTGCGGTTTATTGGAAAATTTTTATAAGATACAGTAGGCCATACTAGGAGCCATTGTCTGGGACTGGGTGGAGGAGGTGTGGGCCCAACCAGTGGGGGCTCCAGACAGGGGGCCAGAAGGAGCCTCCTGTGAGCCATTCTTTTCTCTCCTCCCCTCACCATTGTGGAAATCACAGGCATGTGCCCTGCCTATCAAATGTCAGGTTTATTTCACTATCTGTTTTCTTCTAACTGTAGTTTGAAATCTTCTCTGCCCGCTGACCTGAAACACTTGGAGCACATAGGAAATAAGCGCGCGGTAGTTGGGGGACCGTCTTTGCTGGATGGTTGACGTCCTTTGGTGAACATTTAGAAATATAACTCAGCTGCCGGCACGGTTGTGAATGATTTGTGGATTAGGATTTTATGAAACTTGGGAGGAGAGGATATTTGCCCGGAGCAGGAAGGAGGGCGAACTTTGTCCTTGGGGTCTCAAATTGCTACAGAATCCTCACCTAGCTCTTCCTGTTGGTTTGTTTTTGGGGTTCCTTTGCCAGTCATCTGCATTTATTATCACATTACAGCCTGGCCTGACCATTCTTCGTCTGAACCACACAGTCTGTTCATGTGTCCATCTCTCTTCTCGGACGGCAGTTGCAGCGCCTCACTGCACCGTCCGACGGGGACTCAGCTCGGGCTGGAAACTGCCATGAACTCTCATCAGTAGCCAGTTTATTGAGATGTTATTTGGGTTTGAGTTCATTGCATTAAATTTTCCGTGAGATTTTACATTTAAAATTGGTTTTTATATTCTTTTATATAAAGTCATTATTATGTTTTTCCTGATAAAGGTAGGGGTGTGTGTGTGTGTGCGCGCGCGCGTGTCCGGTTTGGAAACAAAATTACTGATTTTATAGCCAAAGTTTGAATGTGCTGGCTTGTGTTCATGTCATTAAAATGGAAAGTCCACAAATGTATTTGGAGGGCTCTTGATTTCATTCGCTAGTAAGACAAAGGGAGGAACTGGCAGTGTCCTTATTGGATTTTAGATTGCATGTTCATTTCAGATTCACATGCCAAGGCACCGGGCACCGAGGGCACTGCCGCCTGCAGCACTTTTAATTTACAGTCAGCTGCCCAGAGGACCAGCGCAGGCAGACTTCCTGGGGCTCTTCCAGAGCCATTTGAATAGAATCTGGGAAGCAAGAATTTAAGGGATAATGGTGGAAAGGGTGATTATGTAGAGGTCTTGAAAATCTTTCATAATTCATTTACTTTAATTGGCAACTAAATTTGCATTATAAGTGCTTGAAATCATTCTCTCAAACATTT